AAGAAAGGGGGCGGGGGGGGCTTTTTTGCCCCGGGGGAGCCGCCAAGACCCAGGTCTGCCGGGCACTTTGCATCATGAGAGCCGCCAAGCGCCTTTGCTGCAGACCCGGCCCCCGCGATGCAAAGTGCCCGGCAGACCTGGGTCTTGGCGGCTCCCGCAATGCAAAGTGCCCCGCCCGGCACTTTGCATCGCGGGGACCTCATCGGCCGCCGCTGCCGCTTCCTCCACTGCCACCGCTTTCCCCTCTGCCCTAGCCGCGGCTTATGCCACGTTCGGAGTGCTGCCCTTTCCAAAAGCCAAAGCCCCAGCACTGTGTCCGCTATAGAGCGGGATGCATCCTGCCTGTATGGCGGACACAGCGGCGGGGCTTCAGTGGGCCTTTTGGAAAGTCGCGCCAGGGCTTTGCCTCACCAGCCATAAAGCTCACCGCACGTCACTGGATTAGAGAGTTCAGCCTTTCCTCCCTCATGGAAAGTAAATCCAATCCCATAGGACAGGCCTGTCAATCTGGCAGCCCACGGGCCAGATGCATCACACAGGCCACGCCCACCCCGGCTCCGCAAAGGCAAAAAACAGTGATACATCACGATACATCATGTGACACGATCGAATTTGACACCTATAGGAGATAAACAAAATCTATATGATGAAGATCCATGTATATATGAATCTGCAGTCAACATTCACAACAGGTGGATTATTATATGTTTATAAAACTTCCTTTTGCTCTGTTTTATATTATTGCAGGTTTTCCAGCATTGGTGGTAATTATTATTCTAGCAAGCACCCATGCCAATACAAATAATATTTACAGCAATGTTTTGAATGACAAAAATAATAAGGAACAAGGTGGAGATGATTTGTAAGTATTTGGTTAAAATGTAATGATGCAAACAGCCTGGTAAATGCTTTTAAATCATTTTTAAAGCGACGTGAATCCAATAAGAGTATGTATCTGAAATGACGGCAGTAAAGGCAAATACGATAAAGGCAAATTTGTCATGATCCTCTTCTTTCCAATTAGCTAGTTAAGTAAGCTTTCCACTTTGGTTAAAATGTAACACAAGTAATTCTACATCAGGCCTGTCTAACTGGAGACCCACAGGCTGGACACATCACGTGCAGGCCACACCCATGCCCACCCCACCTGCCCAAGGCAAAGAACTTCACAATCTGGCCCATGATATTATCGAGTTTGACAGCGAGTTGTAGATGTTGGAAGAGGAAGAAGCATTATTTAGGGAGATATGATGTGCTTATGCAATTTTCTAACTTAGTGAAGAAAGACATGTTCTCATGGACATTGCTGTCCTATTTGAACTGTGGCTCATGATTAATAATATTTTAGTAATTCAGTGCTACACACTTTTGTGTTGGAATTCTAATTTTTACTATGTGATGATTCTTCTGGAAATATTTAGTAGAAACCATTGACTTAGGTTAGTGCATGTGTGGCATTCACATGAATGTACTTTGCTTCATTTTGCTTATGACTTAAATATCTCTGGTCCATATAACTGCAAAATTTGATAAGCTTAACTTTCCAAACACATTTGCATAAATGATTTAAAATGGAGGTTAGTTATATTTTTTAACTACACTTTATGAGTTTATTGCTAAAAAGACTAGTACAGAATAGCTCTCAACTTACAACCATAATTGAGCCCAAAAATTCTGTTGCAACAACTGAGACAGTTGTTAAGTGAGTTTTTGCCCCATATTTTGACCTTTCTTGCCACAGTTGTTAAGTGAATCACTGCAGTTGTTAATAACATGGTTGTTAAGTGAATCTATCTTCCCCCTTTGACTTTGCTTGTCAGAAGGCCGCAAAAGGTGATCACATGACTCCAGAACACTTCAACCATCATAAATATGAGTCAGTTGCTAAGCATCCAAACTTTGATCATGTGACCAGAGGGTTGTTGGTGTGAAAAACGATCACCAGTCACTTTTTTCAGTGCTGCTGTAACTTCAAACGGTCACTAAACAAACTTTTAAGTTGAGGACTATCAACATTGTGACATAGCATTTATTCTGCTCCTTCTGGAGTTAACTTCCACTGAAATCAAAGGGGTTCACTTTCATTTATATACTTTTATATTGAAAACTTTACTCCTAAAATGTATGTTTATGTGATATTTATTTGAGTTTTTCATTTCAATATAAACAAACATGTTCCTGGTGAAATAACCATGCATTCTGTTAATATTCATCGTTCATAGGATGTTTTCATGTTGTCTAAATTCCATGTCAATAAATATTGAGGTTGCAGTTTCAGGGCGTTTTTAATGTAATCAGAGATGATTATAAAATTAGGAATATTTACATTTGGGACAGTACCTGGCTGGATATTGAATTTCTTCAGATAGATTTCAGAAAACCAGAGTTTGTTTTTATATTAACCTTAATGGATCAAAAGAAGGAACAGATTTTAAGTGTTCTCGTGTTTGTTCAGAGAAACATTTAATCTTCACTGAGGAAATTGTGGCAATGTTTGAGGTATCTAGAAGTACAGAATAACTGATTCTGAATTTGCCTGATCATTTACTAATCCAGCATTACCCTTATCCTGATATACAACTTTATGGAAGTAATAGTTAAAGCCTTTTATTTTTATAGCCCAAAGCAACCAAAATTTTGTAACATGGGAATAACATAGAATTAATACTTTTTTTTACAGCTGTTGGATTAAAAGCACCATTGTATTTTACGTGACTTGTGTTGGCTACTTTGGAATCATGTTCCTTATGAACATTGCCATGTTTGTTGTGGTGATGATGCAAATATGTGGACGAAATGGGAAACGGACCAATAGAACTATGCGGGAAGAGATCCTGAGGAACCTTCGTAGTGTTATTAGCCTGACTTTCCTCCTAGGCATGACGTGGGGTTTTGCTTTTTTTGCCTGGGGACCACTATATCTTCCTTTTGTGTATCTCTTCTGTATTTCCAACTCATTGCAAGGTGAGTAGAGGAACGTATAAATAATAACCTAATTTCTGATAACATACAGATTCACAGGTATATTATATGCATTATGTAGCACTCTTAACAGATACATTGTACTTAAGATTTGTAGATTTAAGCCCATACAAATACACACATGTACACACACAAATGGTATCAATTTTAAAAACTATACAGCATAAATAGCAATGAGTCACATGACAGTAATTGATGATAATAGAATTCAGAAACATCATATCATGGTGAATAGAATTTTTTTGGAACTGGAAATGTTCTCCAACTTACCCTGTTCCAGTGGTGGGTTGCAGGCGGCACGCCCCGGTATGGGCATACTGGAGCCAGCCCAGAGCACCGGATACCGTTCCGGTACCTGGTGCTCCGGAGGGCCCGCCGCCCGCCCTCAGTCCTTACCTGTACTTTAAGCTTTTGCCGCTTCTGCACACGCGCACGGCACGTACGGTTCCTGCACAATGCTCCGCTGAGCAGCTGGAGCGTCGCAGATGCTTGCGGAAGCATCACAGGCAAGTATGATGCATACACGCGCACTGCACACATGCATGTGGGTGACACCGGGGCCATTCCAACTGTATCGGTTGGAAGGGAATCCGGAACCCACCACTGCCCTGTTCTGATTGTTTCCAGAAAGTTTAATTCATCCAAGTATTTCGAGTAAGAAATGTAGAATCGACACATTTCTGCTTTCCAACTTGAAACCTATTCAAAATATATAATTTAGAATTAATAATGCACTCCAAAATTAAGCCTAAAATGTTCCTTATTATTGAAATAGGAAAGTTTAGAATGAACAGTTGGTTCTGATTTTTCTCCCTTTTTTTGCCATCTACTTTTGCCATATCAAATTCTATTCAGCTTTCAGTTTTTCATAATGTTATCTTGCTGGTAAACAGAGTCCTGGACTATTTTACACAATTTCTACTATTCCACTAGTTTAGAAAGAATAAAAGGGGGGAAATGTATTATAAAATGTTATTATATTATAATATGTTAATTATTTTTGTTCATTTGTTATTATTTGCGAGCAAGTGAAGGATGCAAATAATTAATTATTTTTAAATATCCAAATTTTGAAATATTTATCATGTAGACAACGTGTGGCTTTGCTTTAATAACATTTAAATTTAGTTTAGGTTATCAAGTTTATATCACTACCCCTTCAGGAGTAAATTTATGTAGGAGAAAAGGGCCAACTTAAAAATTGATCTCTCTTTCACACCATCAGCTCTCCATTTGTTTTTTCAGTCATTTCCCTTTTTATCCAAGATACTCCCAATTTTATTTCATGCCATTGCTTTTCCAAGGATGTTGTCAGAAAACACCAATCATATGTGATAGAAAGCTTGAATTGGCACAGTTTAACAAAGACTGCCAAGGTTTCATTTAAAAAAATTAAACCGGTGAACCAGGGACATGCAGTCACTAGAGGCAAGGGAGGCGGAGCCTCCCCAGTCACCTGAGACAAAGGAAAGAGTTTTAAATATTTTTTTTAATTAATTAAAGCCAGGATAGTTGCTACCAGATTTCAAGTCACAGTGGCTTGGTGTCTGCTCTCAGT